CTGTGCTCTTCTTGGCATGTGGTGGAGAGCTGAGCCCCTGCTCCCTTGGGGGGAGCCCCCAGCCTCTCCTCAGGCTTGGATTTGTAAGCTCCCTGTACTGGCAAGGAGGGGTGCTCCAATCGCAGTTTAACCCTGCATGCTTTAGGATGTTCTATGCATGTGTGGCTGGGGGAGGGGGGGTGGCCTTTCCCTCTGTGCCTCGATGTCTTCCTGGAGCTTTGCCACCTTACCCTGCCTGGAGCCACCCATCCCATTGGGTATGGACCCTGGGAGCCCATGAATCTCCAGTCCCTGCTGGGTGGTGGCTTTGTCCCCTCCTGCAGCTGCCTGTGTGTGTTCTCTTTGCTGCTGATCACACCTGGCAGGGGTACAGCCATTCTGACCCTGCAGCCCCCAGCCCCCCATGGTGGCTCTGGAAACTGGTTGCCCCTTCCCTGCGGCAGAGGGGAAGATGCTGAAAACCTCTGGCTGTGCCCCATAGCCCCTTGGGGGGCTGGCGCAGGGGATGGTGGATTATCCTAGAGACCTTCCCTTCTAGGCCTGGGTGGAGGGTGCAGATCCCCCCCTTTCTTCCCCTGCACCTCCATCCTTTCATACACCCCTGCACGTGTTTCTCTCCTCCCACCCTCCCTGCAGGTGCCCCTGGTCACCCTGGCGAGTACCCAGCACCACAGCATGCAGTTCCCCATCAGTGCTGTGCTCGGCACCCTCCTGCCCCCTGAGATCCCTCCTGGGCTTTGCCCCTATGGAGGACCCAAGCCTAAAAACTTCAGTGTGGCTGTGCTTTGGCTTTAGGACCCTCCCTGTGCCGTTTTCTGCAGTGGTGATTACATGCAGCTCTTGCTGCTGCTTTCTCTCCCTGTAACTTGTTGGTTAACTTGCTGGCTCCTCTGGTGGGTGTAGGAGAGCTTGCCCTGGTGCCAAGCAGCAACACTTTGGTCTGGTGCAACAGGTACCTTTGGGAAACCATCTGGTGAGGCACAGGGGTGCAGGACAGGTCACCTGCCCTGCTGAGCATCACTGGGGAAGCAATCCCTTTGCAGCTCTGACACGTCACACTGACCCTCTGCCAGGCATGAGCTAGTCCTGGCTGGAGAGCCACATAGCTCTCAAGCTTGGAAAGGTGACCTGGAGGTGAAGTGGCAGCTGAGGGGGGCTGAATCTGCCCTTGCTGGCAGCACCCACTGGGCGGGCAGCTGCAGGAGCATTGGTGTGGTGCTGAAGATGCGGACGCAGCAGCTCAGCTTGGAGCCTTGCAGGGCAGCGGCCAGGCTGGCCTGCCTGCTTTTCCAGAACATGCCAAATTATTCATGCACTTTTCCAGCACGATGTGGGAGGGCCCTCGCCCCTTAGGCTTTCATTTGAAGCATGAAGGAGCTGGGGTGCTGCCACTGGCCCAGCACTCCCTGTGTAGGCCGGGGTCCCGTGCCGGCATGATGTCTCATCTCTAGGCAGCCGCTGTCTCCTAGAGACTAGAGCTTCACCACCGTGTGGTAAAACCTCCCCAGCATTATTCTTTCCTGGAATTTGCAATGCATGAGGGAGATGGGCTCATTTTATATTTTTTTCTAGAAGTAGGTGACATATGCCTGTGTGAGCGCTGGGAATGGGTGTGCTCTAGGCGCGGGAGCTGAGCTTCCCTAGCAGTCCCCCGCCTGGCTGCCATCTCTTTCTAAGAAACTCATCCACCCCAGAGCTTCTCTGCACCACTTGAGCTCCTAAGGGCTTGGGGATGGACAAGCTTTTTTGGTAATGAGTTTGGTGTGGTTGGCCAGGTATGTTGTTCCCATCTTTGTAGTTGTAGCCTGGCACACGTAGCTGGTGCATTTTGGTAGGGCTAGAGAAAATGTGTGAGCATCTCAGCTGCCTGGCCCGGAGCCCATGGCATCGCTCCTGAGTGAGGGTGGTTTGAGGAGGCAAGCATTGGATCTTGGCCACAGTCAACAAGAGCTGCTGGCCTTAGAAGGGAGATGAGCTGGTCCTGGCACTGCAGGTCAGAGTGGGCACAGTACCGAGGACAGCCAAGGGGGCTGGGGTGGAGCGCGGGAAGGAGTGGAGGCTCTTCTTCATCCAGCTCCAGTTGACTAGGTAATAGGGCTAAAAATAACTGGTGATTCAGGCCTGTATATCTGCTGGGTAACCGTATAATTATAACCAGCAGCCTCTGCAGTTCGGCTTCCCAGTGTAAATAGGGATGATGCATGGAAGGGAAGGAGGAGAAACACGAGCAACTGGGACTGGGATGCAGCTCTGTGGGGAGGCGAGTCTTTGCTGAGTTCCTTGCTGAAAAGTTCAATGCGTTACCTCCACTGGAGCTGCTCTTTTTACTGGTCCTGCCCAAAACGTGAAGCAGCTGCTGTTCTGGCCATAGGAACATCAACTTCTCTTCTTCAGGAACATAGCCTCATCCTGCCTGTTCTCCTCCCACTGAACGCCAGGCCTTTAGCCCTGATTTCATTTGTTTGGCTGCCTGGAAAGCTGCAATTCAGTTAGCACATGAGATGGGCTGCAGCTCATCTATATTGCTCCGTTCTTCATCTGCTTAATCACATTTGACCTGGATAAAATCCCTCTCCCACCCCAGATAGGCCAGATAACACTATGTGGCTCTGGTTATGTCCCTAAGGACAGTTTCCAGCTGCAGGTGCACACTGGCTACTCTACCTGTCCCCCTGGTTTGTCAGGGGAGAGGGATGGTCACCAGTTCTCTGGGGACCTTGCTGTTCCCTACAGTGGGGGCTTTCTCCTTCCCAATCCCTGTGAATATGCAGTCTTGTGTTGGCCTGGCCAAGAGGACCTGGGGTGTCTGCAAAGCCCTAGTGTGCATCCCCAGCCCAACACACGCGGGGATGTTGCTCCATGGGATGCACACCCGTTTGTCCCTGACCTGTTCTCCTCATGATGACTTCCATTTTGATCCAGGCATCTCTGACGCCGCGAGGACACTGCCTCTCAGGGACCCTGCCAGTGTTATGCCCCACCTGAGCAAGCATCTTCTGCCCTTTGCTTTTGCCCAGCCAAGATTTTGGCTGGCCTCACCTACCTGCTGGAAGAGCAGCGCCGCGTTGTGCTATCCTTGGGCAGCTCCCTCCATGCGATACCCAAGAATGTCTCTTTTTTTTCCTCTAAGGCTGTTTTCTGTGTCCTTCATTCATCAGATGTTAATTTATTTTATTTTTTTGGGGAGGGGCGAGTAGGTGTAATGGCAGGTCCATCTTTTTGACAGCCGGGGAGAGCGAGGCTGCCTGTCAGATGGTGAATTTAAACAGAGGCAGCTGTTGCCATGGTGACGCCAAGTTGCATCCTGTTGCTGTGGCAACCAAAGTTAAAAAACTGATGTTAAGGCAGGAAAATCACATGATGTAGTTCTTTTTTGTTCAAAAAAAAAAAAAAAAAAAGAGAGGAGAGAGATTTGATTTTGAGTTTTAAGTGTAGGGTGAGGTGGGGGAGAAGGAGATATTTCTCCATGGAGCTATTTGCACGTGGCAGGCAGGCATCCTGCATCCCTACGGGAACAGCACCAGCGTAGGCAGCTCTGCTCTGACCGGCTTCTGCATGGCACTGCCTTTTGGTTTAGCCCCTGACAGACATCAGCCCGCCACATTTTGTAGTTATAAGCAGCAACATTTATGGCTGCAGATAGCCAGTGGCCGGAGCATGGCCATGCAGAAAGATCTAGGCAGACTGAGCATCTTGCCTTGGTGCTCCCTCCAGGGTGTGCAGATACACAAGCACAACCTCAAGCCTGAGTTCTGCTCTGTGTGATGGGCTTTATCTGCTGGGGGAAGATCCCTTATGTCCTCACGGAGATGTTGCAGGGCTAGGGAACCCCAGGGTTAAATTAGGACCACTCATGGTCTTTGACCCATTTATCATTTTGGGCTCCTCTTGGAGAGGAGGTGCTCACTTTCTTGCAGGGGTCTGGAGCTCAGAGAAGGGGGGTCGTGGTTTCCTAGGGATGGGAACGTTGAAGAGGTGGGTCTTTTTTCCTGCTAGGCCACGTCTGTGTGGGGCAGGCATCAGTGGTGGGGTTGGGACCAATAAGATGAAGTGCACAGATGTAGGAACTGAAGCTTCTTTTCACTGATACCTGGGAAGCAGGGAAACCCCCTCAGTGCAGCAGGTCCTGCGGGGAAGCCTAATGAGCAGTGGGAAATGGAGACTTAAGTTTCTAGTAGATGTTGGAGCTGGGCTGGGTGAGGAAGGCAGCACGAGGGGTTAAATTGTTCCTGCCCTTTTCCCTGGCCCTCTGAGGTAGGCTTCCCCAAGAGCCCTTTTGGAGATGCCCAGGTGGTCTCACTCTTCTGGCTTTTCTGCACCTTCCCCACCTGCCTGCCCAGGATGAGACAGAAGGCATGGTCACTGAAGTGGAGAGATGGAGGGGTCTCTCTGCAGCTCCTGGCCCATGTCTGCATCCAGGGAGGGATTTATTTGGCACCCAGTCTTTTGGAGAGGTTGCATCAATGTGCCATCAAAACTATAAATCTATCTTTAGGGCCTAGGATGGGGCATGTTCCCAGTGTTAGCAATATAGATGTTCTGGGTGGCCTGCTTGTGGCTCCCAATTGGCAACAGAGGTGGAGAAGGGGGGGGTCACAGCTGGAAGAAATGATCCACCAGTGGCTGGACATCTCCCTGCAGCTCTGCCAGACACTCCAAAGAGCTCCAGCTCCAGTCATGGGGTTATCTACAGTGCCTGCTCCAGTGGGCTTGGGTCTGGGGAGAGGTCCACATGGCTTGGGGGCACCTGCCGCACCTCAAACGCACTGGGAGGGAAGTGTGGAGCTGCAGGTGTGGCATGCACTGGGATTGGCCGAGTTGCTAGGGAAACAAGTCAATGGTGCAGGGGAGAGAGTGTTGGGTAAAGGGGATAAATCAATAAGAAAACCTATTTTTATCGGCTCCCTAATGATCCTCCAGGAGAAGCCAGATGAAGGAGGAGGGGAAGGCCGGAGGGAGATGGGCTTTCATTACTGGGCTTGGAGGGAGGAGAGTGCTACTCTGTGTTTCAGGTGGCTGGAAGGTTGTGTAGTTAGATATATAATGAGAGAGGAAACAAAGGAGTGACAGAGCATTGTCCTGTGGGCTCCAGCCCCAAGCTGGGAGGATGCATGCTTGGCAAAAGTGAAATGTGTAGATAAAATTTCCCCCAGTTCAGCCAGATGTTCCTGCTGTCCATTGAGGAGGGTATTCTTACCCTTGCCATTGCAAAACTTGATACAGCTGGAGCTACTGGGGTTTGTTTCCATGGGGTTGATGCCTTGCAGCTCTTTCCCAGCTCCAGATGTGATAACCCAGGCTCTGGTCCTTGCAAAACTGGGCTACTGGGGTTTGGAGAGTTGCTTTTGGCTGTGACCTCATGCTTAGGTCGCTGCTTAGGCAGCAGTTGCCTGTTTCCCTTAGACTTGATATCTGCCAAACCATGTACCACATGCTCACTGGAGGTGGAGCAATGATGTTGTCTCATGCTGGGGCTGTGACAGATGTTAGAACCAGCAAGGAAATACAGTTGGTCCATTAGAGGTGGTCCTGAGCCCCTCAGCAACTGCCAGGCAGGGCTCTCCCACTGCTGGCTTTGGAGAATTATTTTTTTTTCCCCCACCTGGGTGTTTTCCCCTTGGGACTAGCAGCCACAGGAGGGAGGAGGCAGTGGTAGATGCCCAGTGGTGGGGAGGAGTACAGGATGCTTGGTGGGGTAGATGCCCTGGGACCCAGAGATGGACTCACCGTGCAGTTCCCACACTTCTCATCTAGGCAAATGTGCCTGGCGCCTGGGGAGCTAGCTGCACTGCCCCACTAACATGCTGTTTTCTTTTGAGCCTGTGCTAATTGCTCGCAGACTTTCAGGAAAATGAAACAAAGGGACCCCAAATAGGCCAGTGGCTTGGGGCCAAGCGCGGCAGTCTGTGTATCAGCTGAAGTGTGCGGCTAGAGGTGGGAAGCAGGGAAAGTAAGTGGCTTTTGCAGGACTTGTGCAATGAAATCCTCACTTGTATTAAGAGGTCTGGGCCTGCATCAGTGAGCTTTGCAGCAGTCTCTCTTTTGGTTTGCCCTAACTTATAAACCATTAATTTCACTGAGTGGCCTTTTAAATGCCTTGGCTAAATCCTTCCTGGCTCTTCCTCCTACCAGGCTAAATAAATCCCATCTCCTGCAGGCTCTCCTTGACTGCCCCTCCTGGACAGCCCTCTGGAGACCTGCTCTGATGCCCAGCCCCACTTCCAATTGCCGATGTGCCACAGTGTAAACAGGATCACTGCTGCTGGGGTTGCTGCTACCAGGGTCACTTCATGGTTTACAGTTTCCCATACTTATGGCCAGCACTGGGATGTCTTCTCTTGAACGCAGGCTCAGGGCCGCTGTTTTAAAGATTCTGGCTGTGGTCAGTGGCTTCAATGGGCAAAAAGCAAGGTTGCAAAAGAGAAAATTATCCCTTTTCCTGGGGCAGTGGCATGGGGATTTGGCACCTCCTGCCCTGAGAGGTGCGAACCTGAAGCTGATGGGTCTGGAGAAGCCCAGTGTGGTGGGAAAGAGCTCAGCTAAGGTGCTGCTCCCTGTGCCAGCTTGGGATGGTGGGAGTATGGGTGATTTCTTTATAAGCAAATCCATCCCAGATCGGATCACATACCATTTCCACAGACATGAGACTTGGGATGGTGGCAGTCCCATCCTAGGGTGGCTGCTGATGCCAGTGGTGAGAGTAATATAGCTTGGGTTTTTTGGCATGGAAGAAGTGGAAAAGGGGTATGCTGCCTGTTGATGAATCTCCCCTCATTTTGTTATTGAGAATGATACAGCTTTTATTGCAAAGATGTAAAGATGGATGGGAAGCCAGAAAGATGTGGCCGTTCTGTTGTTTGAAATTGCTTTGTTTTTAGGGCTTGGCAGTGGGCCAGGCAGGAGGAGGGAGCTGCATGCCCCCACATTGCTCCTTGGCAGATCCTCTGAATCAAAAGGCAGGAGGGAGCTGAGTTTGGGATGCTTTTCTGGGAATCAGCCTGCCCTTTCCTCTGCCTCCCTTTCCCACTCGCTCAGGTCCTCAGATGCCAACTCCCAGAGAAGGGTGTGCAAGCCCTAGACATGGCTGTAGGATTTAGGGTCCAGCCAGATCCACGTGTTAAGGTGCTGCTACTCCTTGCAGTCTCGTGAAGTATGGCTAAGCTGAGATGTCTCCTTAGGGAGTTTCCACGCTGCCTGAATTGAAGCTCATACCCAGACACCATCAGTGTCTTGAGTTGTGAATGCCCAGCCTGGTGCTCCGCAGCTCTCAGCACTGCCTGGTCTCACCCTGCAGCATGCTTGGCAAGAGACCCTTGGTTCGCAGGGCAAGACCACCTTGGCAACGCCGGGCACGGAGTGGGCTGATTCAGGTCAGATCCACAGGACCTGCTAGGGAAGCTCTGTCCTCCTTGGGTTGTGCAGATGATTCCTCCCACAGGGATGCTTTAGAACCAGAGCTGCTGATAGCCTGTGACTTGCCCTCCTCGCCTTCCCCAAAGCTCCATCTCCTGCTGCTTCGTGGTGGAATAGAGAAGGCTGGTAAGAAGACCGTGGCATGCAGGGACATGCTGGCCATGGCCACTACCATGCTATGCCAGGGAGAACTTCCCTGACACTGCCAGGAACCATGCCAAACCCTTTTCAACATGAAGCCGTGTCTGGTCAGAGCCTGGCTGTTCACCTTCATACTTGTGTCCATCTTCTGGACTCTCACCACAAACTGCATCTTTCTCCCAAGAATGTTCACAGTCCCCACAAAGCTTAATGTCCCATGAACTTGGGAAGGAGGTGATAAGGCTCAGCAAGCAAGGCTTAATGAGGAAGGTCTTAGGGACTCTTGGTTCTCTTGTCACCCCTCTCGCTTCCAAACAGCATCAAGGTGGGCTTCACCCTCCTAGCTGGGAGCAGTAGGAGGCGAAACCTAGGCTGTGTGTATGCATGTTCCTGTGGGCAAAGTGGTGGTGGTGGCTAAATGAAGGGTGGGCAGGGGTGGGCTGGGGACGTCATCTACCTCTTCTTTGCTCCTTAACTCACTCCACTCCCTTTGAGTACATGATCCTGGCAACCATCATTGCCAACTGCATCGTACTAGCCCTTGAGCAGCACCTCCCCGAGGATGACAAGACACCCATGTCACGGAGATTAGTAAGTACCCGCATCTGTCCTTCTCCAACTTGCGCCAGGGTGTATGGCGGGGGAGCAGGGTCATCACCAAGGGGAGCCAACCTGTTCTACTAGCCAATTTCTTCTGGTTTCGGGGTGATAAGGTAGGAGGTTTCCTCTGGGACCAGCTCCTCCAGTGTTCCTGGGGCTGCTGTCACATACTCCTCCATGGAAAGTATTCAGGAAGGTTTAAGCCCCTTAAAAAATGGGACAGGGAAGGAGGACTGGGCAACTTGGGTGGGTCATAGTCACCCTCTTTTTATTTCCAAGGTTGATGCTGGATGAGGAAAGGCTGAGAAAGCTCCCAAAGGAGAAGATGGGGCTGGGGAAGGTGGAATGGGACATGAGTTGAGTAAATGTGAAATGGCTGGTGCTGTCTGCCTTCTCTCCATCTCTCACCATGTCACCGGTTCCCCTCTGGCAGGAGAAGACGGAGCCCTACTTCATTGGTATTTTCTGCTTCGAGGCTGGGATTAAGATCGTGGCTCTGGGGTTTGTTTTCCACAAGGGCTCGTACCTGCGCAATGGCTGGAATGTCATGGACTTCATTGTGGTCCTCAGTGGGTGAGTCAGGGGTGTGGGGCTGTTGGTGGGGTTGGGAAGCCGGGCACTGGGGCTGGTGGGGACGCAAGCTCCAGGATGTGGTCCAAGGCCCTGGTTTGCTGCTGTTGTTGTTTCTTCATCCCAAAGAGGGAGGGGAGGATGGTTGCCTGTGCTGGAGGCTCCTGAGTTGGCTTTGCTGTGGGCAGCTGATAGAGAGACATGGTTCCCCATCAGATGAGGAGGGCTGGCTCTGAGGGCATCATGTCTAGCTTTCCTCAGGTGGTGGCCTGGCATCTGTCACCCTTCCAGCCATGGGACAAGGTGAGGACAAGGTAGGAGCATGGCCTGATAAGCAACTGCATGTAATCTGGGAGAGGTTTTGGTCAAACCTTACATGAAGAGGGAGAAAATCTCTTCTCCTCTTGCCTTCCCAAGCACTTTGAGCCTTGGCCTGGTGCTGGGGGTTTGGGAATGAGGTCTGGGTGGGGCCATGTTCCCAGGTGATGCTCGCTCAGTGTCCCAGTGTGCAGCAGTGATGCTGGGGGTGGTAGCACACAGAGCTTCACGGGTGCTGGTTGTGTCACTGGTGGTGTCATTGCCAGGGACGTGGCCCAGATATGAGTCCTGCTTGCGGTGTGATGAGCTGTGCTGGTGACACAGAAACAAGTAGAGGCATTTGGGCTTGAGTTAGACAACAGTAATATTCATCTTGAGCAGAAGCCCTCCAGGGTGACTCCTCTGGGCCCCTTGCAGTATGGAGGGGGCAGGTGGGTGCCTGCAGCCACCTAGGGATGCGAATGATTACCTTCCGAGGAGCTAGTTTGCTGCATACAGATGGTGCCTGTGGATCTCTGAGCACTTCATGGGCTCTGGGAGGTGCAGAGCAGCTGCAGGGATGTCTGGGAAACTAAGGCATAGGAGCCAGGCAAGATACCTGGGTTCTCTACCAAGTGCCAAGTTTGCTGCACAGTCCTTGGTTTCTAGGGTGGTAGCACCATGTGAGACATGACACCTGTCTAGGTGTTTGGAGGAGGAAGGGGGATGCTGAGCCTGGTGTTGCAGATGTGGTGATGGGTGCTCCTTGTCCATAGCGGAGAGGTGCAGGTTGGGACTGTGCTTGAGAGTAGGCTTGAGGAGAACATGACAGAGAACATTTTGACTCCCTTGGTCCAGTGCGGACCTGGATGGCTTTGCTGGGGAGTGGGACCATGTCTGCCTGTGAAGGCAGGATGTCTTGGTGTGCTGATGGTGGGGTGATGCTTCTCAGTGGGTAGCAAACTGGCTGCCTATGGGTGGTGCAGCCATCACACAAGATGCAGCTGGCTTTGCTGCATCTGCAGAGTGACTGTCAGGGGGAGGCTCCTGAGGACCAGGCAGGTTTGCTGCTGTGGGGAGAGCAACCAGACACAGCTCCTGGGCTGGGCAAAGCTGGTAAAATCTCTGGGAACAGTGTGGGGCATGTCACCCTTGTTAGCAACAAAAGGGGATGTTCTGCCCTCACTGCACACCTGCGGTGCTGGGCTGGGTGTGAGGAAAGTGATTGGATGGTTGGGAAATGCCCATTGGCCATCTCCTGGTCCAGGCATCCGTTGGAGCCTGGGCCAAGGGGAAGCACTGGGCTGCTACAGACCTCTCCCTGCCCTCCCCACAGCTCTGGGCGAGCTGACTGTAACTGAGCTGGTGCTGAGTCAGCGTTCAGCAATTACTCACTCGCAAAAGCCTCACCAGCTCCTTTCGGTGCTGTGCTGGGCCCTGTGCCAGGGAATCAGTTGTCCATGTAGGTCTGTTAGCACTGCGCCAGCCACCCTGCCAGGAGGTGCCCAGGTCCCCCTGATACTGCCAGTTACAGGGGGCAGCCTTCTGGGGTCTGTTTCACTATCACCCCCTTCATATCCTAATGTTTTGCCAGAAGGATGAAACCCTCTCCAAGAAATGCCCAGTTACCTGCTGGCTTTGCCCCAGCAGTGCTGGTGCCTGCTGGCATGGGCTCACCAGCCTTTTGGGGCAAATTTTGTTGTATGATGGGTAAAGTAGGCAACCCACAAGTTTTCACCCTGGGCCAGTTTTGGGGAGGATCGGGTCACTGGGGAATCATCTGTATGAGGTCATGGGCTCCTCTGGGCTATTCAGCTCTTGCTTTTGTTGTGCGGTGCTGACAAAGCTGCTGTTCTTCAGTGCCATGATTGTGCCTCCCTTGCAAGAAACTCTTGTGTGTCTGATCTGCTGAATTATTGGCAGATTTCTTCAGCAAATAATCCTTGGCTGGCAAATGACTTGAAAAGAGCTTGTGGGAGAGGGTTTGCATTTGGTGGTTCATGCTGTGTCAGTTGTGTAAGGCAGGTGGTGAAGTCTGCACAGGGGATGTGTGCGGGTGACCAGTGGGTTCAGGATCATCTTTGTGGACTAAAACTTTATGTTTGATTAATATGGGAATGTCTGTTCAGGGACTATCAAGCTTGGGAGAGTTAAGTGATTGGGATCTTGTTGTGACTTAGCAAGAGGCAGTGGCTGTGGTGCAGGGGATGTTGCAAGCATCTGAAGTATAGTGTAGTGCTTGCCTTGGGATGTGCTGACAGTTAGGGATGCTAATGCATCCCACGATGATGGACCAGAGGATATCCATATGAGCAGGACCCACACACCCCAGGATCCATCGTTAATGGACCCAGAGGGACCCAGCATCATGCTTGCTGGGCCTTGTCCCCCCAAGAGTGTCAGAGGGTATTATTTTTCCTTTCTGCACTTATTTTTTGTCACATGTCTGATGTGAGAGGTGCTTAATGCAGGCAGCATCATGGCCTGCATTGACACTGTGTTGGGGTTTCCACGAGCAGTGGGATATCCTGGGCATGTAAATTAGCCAAATGAGGGGTGACTGCTGTGAGCAGGTTCTTGGGACCCCGTGCAGGAATAGATGGCACTGGCTTGGGTTCAACTGGTGTTTGCTTCTTGTGTCAATAAATCCAGATTTTTGCATCTCAGTGGAAATCAACACACACCTAAAACTCCCTGATGCTAAACCTTCCATTGGAGAACTAAAAGTCCCATTTGTAAACCTGCTCTGTTTATAACCTGTGGTTTCCAAATCATCATCGCTGCCTGAAAAAACAGCCTGTTCTCCCCAGCTAAAAATATTTGTGTTCAAAAACATGCATAAAATACCTTCACTCTTTTTGAGGCAGAGCCGGGGAGGGCAGTGTCTGTTTCCCCTGGGGTTTGGGGATGCTTGCCTTGCCCATGCATGAACCAGAGCTGGCCAGGCCAGGTGCTGAAGCTGGACTCATGACCTGCTCAATGCAGCATGTCCTGGACCAAAAAGGGGAAAACTGCTCAGAAATAGTCAGATAGGGCAGTGGGAGCTTGGAAACCTCTTAACTGGTGGTCCTAAGTGGGTGAAGTTGAAGGAGCTTCAGCCATTAGCAGCTAAAGCATCAATCAGCTCCCTGGTCCCCAGGTGCCATTAGTGTAATGAACAGAGAATGAGGACCCTACAGCAGCCTGCCTTGTCCTACACCATATTTAAAGATGCTCATGGAAAAAGAAGGGTTAAACTGCCTCTGCAAGTATCCAGGTGGGTGTGTGCTTCACACACTCCAATGCCTGAGCATCATAGCACCAAGTTCGCTTTTTTATAGCAGTTGCAGCGGTAAGACAATAATTCGTTATGTGAGAGGTGAAGGGATGGGGGAACGCTTCTCACAATGGGAAAAAATCAAAATGTAGATCAAAAGGCCCTTGTGAAGTTGTGCTGCTCAGAAGTCAAGGAAGCAGCCACTGTAAAACCAGTATAAATATACCAGGGTCACTAAAAGGAAGAGCTGGCATCAGGGTTTTTTTGAGGGTTTAATAATAGCTGCTACACCTGGATGCCTTTTGTGAAGCCCTTGGGCACTGTGGTTTTCATTAAGGGGTTTTGTGGGGTGGAGCATGGCCAAGGGAAGGCAGGAATGAGTGATCACAGGTGGTGCCTGCTGTGCCCTTAGCAAACGCAGAGCTGACTGGACGGGTACCAGCCTGTGCCAGCAGAGGAAAGCCTGGCCCTCCAAGTCCGGACAGCTGGCCCAAAAACCTACAAATGCAAGTGGCAGTCATGAGTCCAGCCTCTCTGTCTGACGTCCCAGCGAAATCCTGTGCATACCCGTGCCCTCGTTTTCTGCTGTGGCTGGAGTGAAGCAGGAGAGAGTGCTTACTAGGAGGCTGCTTCCCTCCATGCTGCAGGGTTGCAATGTGAGCATGGGGACAGAAGAGCAGTTTGGCTTGTTGTTTGTTGTGGTGCTGCCTGGATTTTTAGATGACTGTCCTGGAAAGTGCCTTGATGCCCTTTTTGCAATTCCCCTGAGCTCCCCCATGGCAGAGGCAAAGAAGATTTGCCCTCTGGTAGTTAGTGCACCTTGTGCAACCCAAGTTCTGTGTGTCTTAGGTGGGGTCGTCTTTTTATCTTGGTGGATTAGAGATGGAGCAGAGGTCCTTGAACAGGCACTGGCATCAGCTCTGTGCAGGAATATTCATATGCTGCATCCCCTTGTGGTTTGGGGTGCTGGCCCACAGCAGTGTGCCTGGCACCCCGTGCGTGTGCAAGAGCACATACATGTACATGTGCACACCTGGGCTTGGAAAAGGCTCTTCTCCCAGTGCTGACACATATTTTCCTACTCGAGGGAGTACAGTGCACCACCAGGCAAGGAAGCTTGGGGGAGTGGGTATGAGGCTTGAAGAACAAGTGTTAAATAGGAGCACAAGTGGAGCATTCTGACGTGATTATTCTGCTGGAGCCTGTACTGTTACAAGGAGTGTAGTCCAATAGGATAAACCAGTAAAGAGACAACCCTGACTCTAAAAGAGGAGCAATGCTTTGATCACACCCAAAACCTTTTTTCCTCTTTCCTTCATTTCCTTTCATAAATGGTGTTGGTTTCCAACCTGATGTCTGCCCCATCTCCCACCTCTTTCCTTCCAGGACAATTAGTAGAATGTTTGGTCTTTCGTTAGGATGAATAATTAATTCCCCAGCTTTGTGAATG